TTGGGTCTTTTTTGACCATTAATATGTTTCTTGTGGGAAGTAGTCACACTAAGCCAGATTTATAGTGAAATGAAAACCAAAATTCTGCTGCGGGCAGGTATAGTAGGTAGCTCTGTCAATGTTATAACCTTCAGCTTCTGAAATTTTGAATCAGTGCATGGTACAGAACGTATCAATAAAACTGTGGTTTATGTTTTGGCTAGGCATCGAATGCATGTAGATATGAAGCATCTGTTAACCATGTTACAGCCTAGCAGAAAGGTGTCAAACTGTCAGAGAAAGGACCAAAAAGACAGTATCACGGTTGTGTATGTGAAAGTAGTGTAAAATGCAGATAGGACAATCACACAGCTATGTGATTTGCTTTGTAAACTGTGTTTGTAGTCAAAGAAAACATAATTTAATACAGCCATACATATAAGGATGGATAGAAAATTTGAAGGGATGATAAGAAGAATCTTGTCCTGCCTTCAAAATCTTGAGCTGTTCAGTTTTTCCTAAAAGGAAGGTTACTTGATTAAGTATCTCTAAATACAAAGAGCGGTGAAAAGTTCTTTAATATAACCACAATAAAAAAAACGTATTCATGAATGGCTAGAGGATGAACAGTTAGAGAAATTCTGCTCTTTTTAAATTACTGTTATTTACAGTATCTGATCAATGTATTTGTCTGTCAAATAAGCATTGGACTGCAGTTAGAGTTGAATTCTAATTAAAAATGTCTCTACAAAATGTTTCAATTTGTATGGTCCCATTTTCTGTTCTAGTGTTAGTGATTGTGAATGTCAGAGAATCACAGAATAATCAGAGTTGGAAGGGACCCCTTGAGGATCATCTAGTCCAACTTCTGGCCCTGCACAGGACAACTCCAAGAATCACACCATGTGCCTGGGATCATTGTCCAAATGCCTCTTGAATTCTGTCAGGTTGGTGGTGTGACAATTTCCCTGGGAAGCTGTTACAGTGCCCAGCAACCCTCTGGATGAAAAACCATTTTCTAATATCCAGCCTAAACCTCCCCTGACACACCTTCAGACCATTCCCTCGGGTCCTGTCACTGGTTGCCAGAGAGAATAGGTCAGTGTTTCCCCTTCCACTTCCTTTTGTAAGGAAGTTGTATACAGCAATGAGGTCCTCACTCAGTTTCTTCTTCTCCAGGCTGAACAGACCAGCTCCTCATGTGGCTACCCTTCAAGGCCCTTCACCATCTTCATTGTCCTCCTGTGAACACTCTCTAATAGCTTTATATCTCTCTTATATTGTGGTGCCCAAAACTGCACACAGTATTGAAGGTGAGGCCAGACCAGCGCAGAGCAGAGCGGGACAATTGCCTCCCTCGATCAGATGGCAGTGCCTTGCCTGGTGTGCCCCAGGACATGGTTGACCCTCCTGGCTGCCAGGGCACACTGCTGAATAATGTTCAACTTGCATGGACAAGGACCCCCAAATCCCTTTCCTTGGCATTACTTTCCAGCATCTCATTCCTGAGTCTGTCTGTACAGCCAGGATTGCCCTGTCCCAGGTGCAGAAAGTGCATGGATATGTGGAAGGTGTGGAGCTTGTGTTGACTACCTGGTATCCTAAAAATTGTTGATTTGTATCCTGAACTCTGGTTTGCTTGTTACAATTCTAAGAGTAGTTAGTAACCATAGGCAGGGCTCCCTCTTACATGATATAATGCTCCCCTACATAGGGAAGGACCACAGAAACCTAAAAAATGTGACTTCAGGCTAATAATTTTGAGAATCTTCATTTGAACATCATTTCTTACATTGTTTATACAAGAATATGTGTTGCTTTAACTACTTCAGTATGTTTTCAAGTGCTGGAAATACTGAAGCGGAAGAAAAACTTCTGATTTTGATTCTCTGAAAAGATCTCATTGGTCAATACAGCCTTAAAGAAGGATGTCTTAAAACATGAAGTTGAAAATCAACCCTGGTTCCTGGAAGTGTTTTGCTGTTCCTAAATTACATCAATGTGGTCTGTTCCATTCTTGTATGTTAAGAGGGACTTGTCTATATGTTCCCACACTGTTAAGCTACATTTAGATTAGCTGATGTGTGTTTGTGTGCTGGGTCTGACATCTCAGGGGTTGGTTACTTAAGTACCACGGACAGAGGCTCTTTGAGGCAACCTGGGATCTGCTAATACAAATCAACAATCTCTGCCAGGTGGTGCTGGTTGAGGTACAAGAGCTTCTTAGTGTGTGTGGCTCAGCATGGAAGATACAGGTACCAAAGAGCCTCACCTGTTTACTGTGTGAGAGGTCTCCTCTCAGCAGCCACACTCAGTGTTCTTTTATGCTTTGGTGTTGAATTTCCTGGAAATAGAATTCGTTTTGCCTCTTTTTTACTTTACTGCTACCTCCAGGACCATCTCCTTCCCAGAATCTCACCATTGCTTTTTGAGAGTCAATTGCATGAAAGTAAATAAATATATCAAGATTTTTTTTTTAAAATTGGTAATTGCATCAGAATTCAACCTAACTAATTCTGTATGTAACTAAAACCAATGTTTTGGTCCTTCATGTGCTCAGAAGGTGAGTCTTGAGTGCATGTCTGGCATGTTCTTTATGTGAGATTCTACTGGCTGTTAAATTGACCAGCAAAGTAAGCAACCTCCACATCCACATCCGTGCAGCTGGCTTTGCTCATGGGAATGCTGTGGATGTGCACTGGTATGAAAGCCTGGATCTGGGTAAACACTCAGCAAGTTGGAGTTCCATCTGTGCCAGTCAATGGACTTGTCTGTTACCTTACCAGAGCCTCAGTTGAACCAAGCTATTATGCAGCCATTCCAGCAAGCTAGGCCGTTTTATGAAAAAGAAGATCTAAGTGGATAGTAACACAATTTTATATCATCATTATATTATACTATGTCTTTCTTACCTGAGTCTTGAATCATACTTCACCAAAGCTTGGGCAGCACACTCGACTGCACTGGAAAGAAATAGCCAACTCTCAAGCTATTGTGTGACCATTTGATGTAATGCTGTTTTTTCAAACATAATGCATCAGATCTTGTTCTAAGTACCAATGTCAAATTCAGGAGAGACATCAGTGTGATGTTTGGGTCACAAGTGCAAGCTAAGATCTTCATTGTAGCATCCATGGAAGATTGTGCTTGTTGGTCAGTTACATGGGATCCCTGCAGTCACATAGAATCACAGAATGGGTGGGTTGGAAGGGACCTTAAAGGCCATTTAGTTCCAACCTCCCCACCATGGGCAGGAACACCTTCCATGAGACCAGGTTGCTCAAAGCTGCATCCAGCCTGGCCTTGAACACTTCCAGGGATGGGACATTCACAGCTTCTTTGGGAAACCTGTTCCAGTGCCTCACCAACATTATAGTAAAGAATTTCTTATTAATATCTAATCTAAACCTATCCTCTTTCAGTTTAAAGCCATTACTCTTTGTTTTATCTCCATGTGCCCTTGTAAAAAGTTGCAAGAGACCTTTAAGAAATGTTTGTTTTGACATTCCCTGGCTTCGATGACTTGGTGTAGGAGACTGAGGCTTGTTGAGTCACAGGGTCTCTCCGGCTGCCATGGTCCACCACCCAAATCCTTCAGCTAACAATGACCAGCATTCTGAGATAACGAAGCACCACTGTCCATCTACTCCCTCTAACTGCTGAGCCATCTGCTAGATAACGATCAACATCCCCTCCAGTTGCCTAGTCCACAAGGCACCATTGTCCAGCATTGTCCACGACTGACATCAGAGGTTGGGAATTGGTCAACTCCAGGGAAACTGACCAGTCAGTGCCCGACAGAGCCCTATAAAAAGAACCAGTGTCCAGAGCATGGCGGACACTCACCACCAAAGAAAAGACAGCTATGGATCATCAGAATTCTGCTGGACCTATTTTGGTGACTGTCTCTGCTGCACCATCGCAAATCTTCCTCGTTTCCCCCCTTTTTCTGTTTCTGACTTTCCTATTGCCCCTTCTCTCTCCCCCTTGAGTAACCAATAATAAAGTCTCACTCCCTAACAGTATTTTGACCTCATTTGTGTCTTAATTCACATTGAGGGAATCAATTGAACACTCTTGAGTCTTATCAGACTGAAACAAAAGTCTCTCCCCATCTTTCCTGTAGGCTGCCTTTAGGTACTAGAAGGTGCTATAAGGTCTCCCTGGAGCCTTCTCTTGTTCAGGCTGAACAGCCCCAGCTCTCAGCCTGTCTTCACAGGAATGTTGCTCCAGCCCTGTAGTCAGCTTAGTGGCTCTCCTCTGGACCCTCTCATGTTTGAAGGCAAATTGAAGGTTTGAAGGAATAGAAGCTGGGGTTGTTTAGCCTGGAGAAGAGGAGGCTCAGGGGAGACCTTATCACTCCCTAAAACTCCCTGAAAGGAGGTTGGAGTCAGGTGGGGGTTGGTCTCTTCTCCCAGGCAACCAGCAGTAGGACGAGAGGGCACAGACTCAAGCTCTGCCAGGGGAGGTTTAGGTTGGATGTTAGGAAGACTTTTTTTACAGAGAGAGTGCTCAGACATTGGAATGTGCTGCCCAGGGAGGTGGTGGATTCACCATCCCTGGAGGTTTTCAAGCTGAGACTGGATGTGGCACTTAGTGCCATGGTCTAATAATGATGGTAGGATTGGACTCGGTGATCTTTGAGGTCTTTCCAACCTGGATGATTCTATGATTGCTTAACCCTGCATTGTTTCTGATTCTTCAGAATGCTTTGTCGTGTTGGAATTCATGACTGTCCTCTTTTCTGGCTTTGACACGGATTTTCAATTACAAGAAGCCTAAGCAGTACCCAGTGTTGAAATGTGCAAAGCACATATAAGGGTCCAAGAAAACACTTGGTTTAAAACTCTGGTGGTGTTTTTGTATGTGACATATGGACATACTGGGATCCATTCCGAAATACAAGTCTGGAAACTATTGCCATTGCTATTCAATTTTTTGTTAGTTTCTGAAAAATTATCAGAGCTTCTAAGTATCTGTATTTCTTTCCAGGAACATTGTCGTAACTATTAAAGGGCATAATGCAGAATCCGTTAACAATTTCTGCAGGTACAGTATGCTTTCTGTACTTTTTTAGAAATTAGATGCTTGTGATTCAAAATGTGGCAGAAATTTCATCATTATTAATTGCTGTATGACTCGTGTATATGATTCCACTGTAGTATGGTTTTAAAAAAAACACCCTAATTATACTGCAGCATTTATTGCTTTAAACAGTTGCAATAGTTAAAATTGTTTTCTTCTTTAGGACATTGCTGTTGCCACCTGTAGTTGAAACTTAAAATAAATCTGCTTCTTGTTTGATTCAGGACAATTAAGTGTTTTAAGATTTATTGCAATTTCTTAATCCTCATATATTTGAATATCATTGTTATATTATAAATCTACAAATTATGCCACAAGACTAGCAGAAACAAGAAAATAAGCATTAGCTTGGATTCTTTTATTTCTAATGCCTTTTCCTCAGCATTCTTATCCTTGCTAACATTTTTTTGTGTTTAACTGTATTTATTCTATGCTTTGTCTTTTTAAAAGTCAACTTTGATTGACTTAGTTTTCGGTAGAGTTAGTATCTTGAATTTTTCCCTCTCTTATTAGTGAGGATATTTGTGTTGCAACTGTGTATTCCTCTAAATGTGTAGCTATAACTTCAGTTTCCTTTCCCTTTTGATCTGTGTCACAACACTACTGTTAAAATATGATTTTTAACTTGAATGCAATTTTAAATGATACCTCTTAAATGTGAGTGAATGTTTGATGGTTGTGACATCAGCTCTAATGGACCTTTGAAAACCATTGCTGGTTGTCAGTTAAGTTTCCATTGTTAGTACTTATGTTAATGAAGAAAAGCATTATATATTACTTAACTTGAAGCCTTGAGCTTTTACTGTCATGTGACTTTATACTTTACCTGTTTTGTGAAGACTGAGTTCCTTTATAATTCTGAGAAAGCTGTTCCAGAAGCATGTCATGCAAACTGATCTTAGCTGATGAGCTCTGTGTCTAATGGGACTGTTCTTTCAAGGGAGACAGTACTGACTGTTGGGTAAAGCTGTCCACCCCACAGTGTGCTCTACATCCATATGCTTATGACTGAAGTACCTAATTCTGATACTTAAAAGCCTTAATTTAATTTTTTTTCTCTAAGTAACAGGAATTCAACCCTGATTATAGTCAAATGGAATGTGTTATCTTTATGTTAGAGCCATTTCTGAATAATAAGAGGAGAATATAGACTGTGAAGCTGTTTGCAAACTTGAAACTGATTAATCACTTGCTTGGAGAGTTCTTTGAAGACTTCCCCCTCCCCTCTTCCCAAACCAAAATCCATTCCAGTCAGTATCCTGTTACTGAGTTGTACCCAGAGTGAATGGTGAACTCTGGAAGTGAGTATTCATGTTAGAAGTCATGACCAGATCATGATCAGGAGCTATATCAGTGTGAAATGATGATATTCTACAAATATACTAGTCTCAGTATATTTTTTTCTGTTCCTTTACTATCATACTTTTTTGTCTTTATGTCAAGCACCACTTGCTCCTTAAATGTGACACTTTGAAAATATTGAGGCTATTACCAATTTATAATGATTTATGTACAGTTATAACAGGTACATTTCTTAAAAACAAAAGGTTGGAAAATAAATTAAATTGGAGGTAGAACCTATCCATCAGTTACATTCAGTATAGCATTTTTGTCAGTGTTTCTGTACTTTGAAGGTGGTTGTTATTTTTCACTTAAGTATGGAAGTAATGATTAGGGTAAGTTCTTTGAGTGACAGCATAAACCCTTCACTGCTGCCATGTGTCATGTAAGTAGCAGGAGTTCTGTAATTTGTTCTGTGCTCATTCAGGACAGCTTTATTTTTCTCAGTTTAAAATATTTTATAAGAAAGGTGATTATCTGTTACATACCAAGCAGTTGTAACTCCATGTTCAAACAGATGCACCTTTCTGAAAATTGATGAACATTTAACTTCTCAGATTTTATTTTGTTCTGGGAATTACAAAATTATCATTGAAGCATCATATTCTGTCATTCACACTCTTGTTAAATATTTACTGTTGGCAAGTGGTGGGTTTTTTTTGTAATGCCCCAATAATGACATAAAATACCATTGTGCCTTAGTGACCTGAAATACCTTTGGCATTGTCAGATTTATAAAATGTTCTTGCTAAATGACTCGAAATAATTGCACATCTTATAAAAATATTTTGCAAAATATAAGGCTATCCTGGATTGCCCAGGAATTTCTTAAATACTTTGTCTTTTTAAAATACACATGGGAAAAGGGTGTCACAAGCTAGTTTTACACCTTGAGTATGTTTCTTTTAATTCTTTAAAAAAGCATAGGGGTTTTCTTTAAAGTCAGTATATAGTTCAGTACATTTTGTATCCATGTTAGTATGGTTATTTGGTGCCGGAACATCTCAAACTTCAATTAGCCATGTTAATGCATTTCTTAGCATCAGCTCTCACTTTGCTGGAACCCCTGCTGCCTTTATGTCATTAACATAAATGCAGGTGCAAATAGCATTTATGTACTTTGATAGAAAGCAGTTGGAGACGTTTCACTGTGGGACACGACACTTTCAGATTGTGTACATCTGTTCAAATAATGTATCCAAGCCAGTGACATGAATGCAAGGATAAAAACATCTGCCCCTGAGACCATTTGCTGTACAGCAGATGCTTACATCTTTATTTATGCAGATGGTTTGTGTGATGAGCTGAGCAGCGATGAAAGCGAGAAAGTTTGACAAAGATTTCAGGGTATTCCTTGGGATGGGAAAATATGTTCGTGACAGTGTTTTCTTTTCACATCTACCAAAAGAAGAACGTGTATGATAGATACTGATGCTTCTAGTAACATGGATGTGCTGTTTAGGATGTTAACTAGATTAACACAAAATCAGTAAAGGATTTTTTTAAAAAAAAATCTCGTGCACAATAGTTGTACTGCACTTACAGAAGATACTAAACAGTTTAATATAAGTAATTACTTTTAAACAGGAAGGCTCAACTGCTTTGCTTCAGGATGTTCTCAGGGAGTACAAAACATGGAATAGACTGAAAAGTTTGCAGAAGTAAATGTTTTGAAATACCAACGTAACTCATCACAAAGCCGTTCAGAGGTTGCGTGCGGTGCAAATTCCATGACTTTGGGGATTTTTCAGGACAAGCTACATGCAGCATTACAAAATTATTAGATAAATAGTTTAGCCTGTCTGCTGTTTGAAAATGACTGTAGGGTGGTGGACGTGAGTCGAGGATCTAAACTGAGCTGGCGCTTAGGGAGGAGAAGGTGGTCACGGGCGGAGGTGCCGGGTGCCGACTCCCTCTGCTGGGAGCCAAGGGGCTCCTTTGTCTGCAGCCTGATGCATGTGGATTTAATATTGACTGATATTTCGATCACATCTAGCTAAGGAGATCATCTCTGGCCTACATTCCTGTTGACTGCACTCCTCTTTCCATTCCCCCGTACGCTGGCACCGTTGCCAGTGTTTGCTGATACATTATCCCCTCTCAGCAGTGTATTTGATAGTTCCTTTATGGCACATCCAGTACCTTCTTTTGAGGACCAGTACTGCCTTTAAACAGCACAGTGACTAGCATGGGCGAGCTTAGCAATGCCAATAAGCATTGCAAATAATTGTAATTATGCACAGGCAGAGGAAAGCCAGTCAGGTACTGTTAATTTGTTTTCTGCTAAATCCTACTGCCAGTTTTTTTTTTCAGCAGCAAGTGATCATTTAATATATTCTCAAAACTGATGTCTGCCTGGCCAGGACCACAGTATTTCAGAAGATGTTTTAGCTTTCCTATGCTGTACAGGTCTGTGTCTGTCTTTGAAAAAAACCTACATACTTATTTGAAGTCCTGTGGAAATTCTTTAGTCTTTATTTTTTGTTTTAATCTTTAATGGAATTGACTACAGGTGGTAATGTTTTGCATGTCTCAGACAGAGCTGGAAAGTCTTTTTCTGAAGAAATCTGGGTCATGAAGAAAGAAAAGGAGGGACAGCTAGAGCTAACAAAAACCTTGGATAGAGATTCCCCATTCAAAACTTAGATCACTTAGGTCATTTCAAGAAATTAGCTATTTTCAAAATACCACAGAAAACACTCTCCAGCTATCATCGAAGTTTAACAATGTATTCTGGCCCTTTTATTGCATAGTGATAAATCTTGTGTATATTTCATAACAGAAGAGTCAAAATAGGCCAAGCCAAGACTGATGGTATTAAGATCCTCTGTTCATCTTGAATGAGGGAGCACTTTCTGAGGTTTGTACTACAGAAGTCACGACACAGATGCTTTTAACACTTGAAGAAAAATATATTTGCTGTATTGAGCCAAAGTCATGAATTATTGCATAGTGATAAATCTTGTGTATATTTCATAACAGAAGAGTCAAAATAGGCCAAGCCAAGACTGATGGTATTAAGATCCTCTGTTCATCTTGAATGAGGGAGCACTTTCTGAGGTTTGTACTACAGAAGTCACGACACAGATGCTTTTAACACTTGAAGAAAAATATATTTGCTGTATTGAGCCAAAGTCATGAATTTTTTCTCTAACACTTGAAGAAAAATATATTTGCTGTGTTGAGCCAAAGTCATGAATTGTTTTCTCTTGTATACAGTCTTTCTTTAGAAAAACATGCTGTTTTTCACAAAAAAAAAGTGATGCTCTGTAGAAGGAATAACACTTCTGCTCTTCTGTTGTGCTCTCTACCTGCACTTCAGTATATGCAAAAAAATTAATTTTGGGGAGTAAGAGTCATAATGTCCTTGCTCCAGTCAGACATTTGTGTTTTCTTTCCCAAGGAGGGTTGAATTCTCAGTAATATGAAGATATCTTCTCTTCATTGAAAGGAGGGCAAAAATGTAGTCAGAAAATATTTTCATTTATGCATAAAATGGTTCTACATTACCTTGTTGTGCTGCATCATTTCTGAAGAATTCTGCCTTCATTTTTTTAGCAGGCTTGGTCATTATTGTTTCCTACGCTTACGAAAAAATAAGTCTATTCATTACCACGTATATGAGACATACGGAGATTTTGTCCAGGTTGATTAGATCTTGATAGATCCTTTAAAAATGACTCTACATTGACATTGACTTTCCAGTGGATTAATTACTGTTTAGGTCCATATCCTTCCTGAAGCTCGCTAAAAGAAATTTCAACTGGCAACTCTCCCGGGAAATAAGTTTTAAAAATCCATTCACAGGTGTTTATCCCCACCTTCTAAAGCATCTAATTTGTATTTGCAATAATGTTGGAGGGTTATGAATTATGAGTTTATGACCAGTGCTTCCATCACCTCCCTTCAGCTATTTTCTGAACAATTAGTTCCCCCAAGTGGCTGCATCACTACAGTCTTGCTTTCAAGTCTTCAGGGGTGGTGTCCTCTCTGGAACAGAATGACTGGGCACAACCAACAAAGAAAAACCACCAGATTTGCATTGATACTTAAACAATTTCCATTCTACTCAGCTGTGTCCTGTTGGAGCAGCATGGTTTCTAGATAGTGCTCACTCCAAGGCTGATGTGGTTGGTTACTGAAACTAGTGAAGGGATAAAGAAGCTGAAACAGTCTGTGATGATATATATGACAGTGTCTCTCAGACAGAAGAGACAGTATTTACAGCTTTAATAGTGATTTATGTGGTTGCAGAGGCCAGGCACCATCTCGAGCCTATAGATTTATCTGTATAACCTCATTCCAAAGTTCTCTTACTGCCATAGTAAGAAAAGTCTGTGTGTGATTTCCTCAGCTGTAAAGGTGGAAAAGGTTATTAGTAAACACAGATGCTTTATGTCTAGCTCTCTTTATGTCAGTTTTCATTTCTTGATATGAAAATATTTTGATCTGCTTAAGACCCATTAATTATGTTGACCTTAATATGAAATGAGTAGCTTATAACTTGAAAGACTGTGCCTTCAAAAGAAAGGAAGGCTTTTAAAGTTCACAAACACTGCATGAGAGGTGTTAAGAGAGCATGTTGATTTGCTAATAAATGTATTTAAAATTCATTGCAAAAGTGTCTAAAAATCTCTTATGTATAGATGTTCTGGCTTTTAGGAAGGACTTTGAAGACTTTCTTCATTTATACAGCAGCACAAAAAAGACTTCTTTTAATAGGAGATTGTATTAAGCCTTGGATTGCCCACATTTTATATAAGATGTTGCATTTGAATATTGATTTACCTATGTGTGGCTAATACATTAGATGTTACGACTCAAGAATATTGCCTCAAAGCTGATGGCCACTTGTTATTTCCTATAGAAATAGTATTTCATACATTTTTTTAAAGTTCCTTTTGTTGGGATAATACAGAGACACATGAAATCTAAATCTATGAGGAATCAAAAATCATGTCTTAGAATAATATTGTTGCAAATGCTGATAATACAGTAACTCAATGCATTGATTTCTTGATGTGTTAATTTTTGTTTAGCAAGTCTGCTTTTGTATGGGTATTGTTTGATGTTACACTTTTCTCTGAGAGCAGAGATACTGAAGCCAAGATGCTGGCAAGACTGACTGGCACAAAGAAACCTTAAATAGAACCATAGAATGGTTTGGGTTTGAAGGGACCTTTAGAGGTCATCTAGTCCAACCCCCCTGCAATGAACAAGAGGCATCTTCAGCTAGATCAGGTTGCTCAGCCCCATCAAACCTGGCCTTAAATTTGTTTCCAGGGATGGGGTACCTGCCACCCCTCTGGGCAGCCTGTGACAGTGTTTCACCACCCTCATCGTAAAAAAATTCCTTCCTTGTATCTAGTCTGAGTCTGCCTTCTTTTAGTTAAAAGCATTATGCTTTGTCCTGTTTCTACAGGCACTGTAAAAGAGTCTGTCACTCTCTTTCTGTTAAGTCTCCTTCAGGTGTTGAAAAGCTACAATAAGGTTGTCTTGGTGCCTCGTCCAGGCTAAACAACCCTGTCTCTCTCAGCCTTTCCTCACAGAAGAGGTGTCACATCCTTCTGATGATTTTTGTGGCCCTACTCTGGACCTGCTCTGACAGGTCCACATCTTTCCTGTGCTGAGGATCCCAGAGCTGGACACAGTACTCCAGGCAGGGTCTCATGGGGATGAGGTAGAGGGGGAGAATCGCCTCCTTCAACCTTCTGGCCACACTCCTTCCTATGCAGCCCAGGATACAGTTGGTTTTCTGGGCTGCAGGTGCACATTGCTGGCTCATACACTGGTTTTAATCCACCAGTACCCTAAATTCTTCTCAGCAAGGCTGCTTTGAATCACTTCATCCTTCAGCCTGTATTGATACAAGAGATTGTCCCAACCCACGTGCAGGAACTCATTAAACTCCTGTGGGCCCACTTCTTGTTCAGGTCCCTCAGGCATCCCATCCCTCAGCCATGTCAACAGCACCACTCAGCTAGGCTTTGCCTGCAAACGTGCTGAGTGTGCACTCAATCCCATTGTCTGTGTCATTGATGGAGATATGAAACAGCACTGGTCCCAGTACAGACACCTGAGGGACACTACTTGTCACTGAGCTCCATATCAACACTGAGGTGTTCACCATGGCCCTCTGGCTGCAACCATCCAGCCAATTCCTTATCCACCCAATAGTCCATCACTCAAGTCTATACCTCTCCCAATTTAGAGAAAAGGGTGTCGAGGAGGACCATGTCAAAGGCCTTACAGAAGTCTAGATAGATGACAGCATGGTAATGAAGCAACTCCTATGTACACTTTCAAAAAACAGATCAAAGCAGTCTGGAAATTGGGAAAGTGGTGTTTTGGATTTTTCCATAAGTTATCTTGGATCTGTATAAACTTTGGCATATATTAATATATGGTTAATGCTTCAGTAAGGATGTTTTGTGCTAAAACAAAAGACTGAATTAGACAGGAAACTGAAGAACTTCCCTAAATCCCGACTATGTACCCATGATCTTGGATTACTGCATGATTTACCTCAGCAAGAGGATGGTTTATGCCAAAAATAGTTTTAGCTTATTCCCACACTGAAAAATGTCATTAGAAATTTTGAAGTTGAACATCTACTTTAATGGAGTCCAGTTAATGTCACAAAACCATTTTTTTATTGTGTACCTTTGTTATTGTAATGTGCTCTTCTGCTAAGAAGTGTCTTTTGGAGACCATTTAAGGAATCCAGGAAGCATCCCACAGCTCACAGAATTTCTTGAAATGCTCTATAATCCTAATCCCTTAAGGTAATAAACTTGCACAGACTGTAAAGAAGACCTTTCTGAATGTTGAAATGCTCTATAATCCTAATCCCTTAAGATAATTAACTTGCACAAACTGTAAAGAAGACCTTTCTGAATGTTAAAATGTTTAGTGTGCAACTAGCAAATCACACTGATGCTCAAATCAGACTTAATTATATATAGCTTTAAAGAAGTCTAATATTCCCCTCTAGAATTTTAACAAACTGTTTTGGTCTTGTTCCTCCTATAGTATACCGGAATAGATTTTCAAAGTGTATTTGTGCATTCTGTATCTTAGTGTTTGTGCAGATGATGTACTGTGATTTTCCAATCTTGAGTTAAAATACTTTGTTATATTGTTTATTTTTCTAAACTAGTTTAAATTGCACAAAACCACTCTTATGTAAACATAATTATATTACTCTAAAAATCAAGTACTAAAAAGGTAAGAAATGTGAAATTCCCCTTTGGCTTAAATGCTTCTCCTCTCCAAATCACATGGTTACCCATCCTAAGCCTGTGTTTAATTCCCGTATCCCACCCTAACTTTTTGGCCTAGACACTTTTCAAGTCTCATTTCTAGTTCTCTTGTCCTTTTTATGCTTGCCCTGTATATAGCTGTGTTTCTCTTCCACTCTGTCAGCTCTGCAGTTCAGAGATAAGGAGAGGCCATTTCCTTCTTCCAACTTTTGGGTGTCTGGACTTAAAGCTGTAGCTTAGGGAAAATCTGGCCCAGCCTGAAGCAGGAGCACATTCAATAGAATATAATCATTGGGAAAATTAGCTGCTTAAATTATCTATTGAATACTTGCCCAGAGCTTACAACTTTGCCAAATTTGGGCAACTTTTCACAGACAAAAGAGACATTGCTGTGCCACATATCAAAGTAATGCACAGATGTGTTGCTAGATTCTTCTTTTTTATTGATTTATTTTTTCAATGCAGGCATACCTGGGGATGACTGGTGTTTCGACTTGAAATTAATTTTAGAAAATTATCTGAAGCAAATACCCAGAACAGAACATTTCACCCATGAGGTTATTATTAGAAAAGTTAGAAACAACTCTAAACTCATTGCTATCATGTATAGAGTTGGATGCTCATGGTTTGTAAGCTTTATTGCCAACCTTGCTTCACATAGGTGTGTGGCAAAGCTAGTTTTGAACATAGATGAACAAATACTCTTTTGTATAATATCTGCAGTTCCACAGATTTATGTGGAATTATGGAAAGTGTAGGTTAGCAGAGAATGTGGCCCTGTATTTAAAAGCCTCACTAGAGCTACTGAGCCTTCATTTTTTGGAGCTTTTTGTTTTGCTGCTGTTGTCTGTCTGCCATGACACTGAAGCTAAACCATCCCATCTGTTTGCCACATTAACCAGCTCTACTCAGTTATTAAGCTATCACCTTGCGTTTGGCATATTCTATTTAAATTTGAAAACATATTTTGAGGAGAGAAAAATGGCAAAGGGCAAGAAGCAGTAGATTTCTCAGTGCATTAACTGGAAGTTAATGTTTCATATTGTTATTTTATATTGTCATTTTCTGGGTTTTGTTGGTTTTGGGGGTTGTTTGGGATTTATTTTTTTTTTTTTGTCCTGGGATCTATTTATAACTGACTGAAGCACTTTTGCAGGTGGTGGTTTTTTGCATGCTATTCCTGCAGAGAAACATTGTGTCCAACAAAGTATGCTGGGTCAGCAAAAGCAAGAAACTTATGCTGGAAAGACAGTATCCACAGGTATTTAGTGTGTGTGGAGATTTGGCGAAATGAATGATTAACTATCATTGGCAGAAAAAGATCTGATGTCTGTTAGAAAGTTATGCATTGTTTTCTTTCCCACGGAACAGATATTCTTTCTTTCAGAGTCAGCAAAAGACTCAGCAATGTAAATGTGCCTTTAATAAAATATTTAATAAGTCTTCTTCATCTGTATTTTGTCTTTTCCTTCGAAACAAGATAATCCTTTTTTGTGTTGTTTTCTCATCTGTCCATTCACACACAAATTAAATACATACCTGCACAAGTGAGGTGGACCTACAGGGATTATTCAAAAAATTAACCCTATTACACAGTGGTTTCTGGCACTTTGGTGGTTATGTTTAAAATAGATCAGTTTAGTGGTGAAAATTAATTTTTTTTTCTGCTGCTTTCTACAGTGTCTGAGTTCAGCAATGTTATGTGCTTTACATAGGGAACAAACTGAAGGAAGTACAAAAATGAGGCAGGTCAGACTGGAGTAGACCAGACTTGGATGGCTTAGGAAGGAAGGGGAACCATGAAGGAGCAGCAGCCCCATGGAAGACTCCTCCTCTGGAGGACTCTTCCTAGTGTATCAGAGACTTTGATGCATCATTGATTTCTGTATTGATGTGTCAGTGTCCACTCCTATACAATTTTAAGGTTGCTTGGAATGGATGAAAGCTTATGACATCCTGCAAGTTTCTGAGTCATTTGATATTTGCAGGTACTAGCATGGTAACCATTAATCTATTACCAGACACTTTTAAAGTAAGTGGGTTGAATTGCACTTGGTTTAACGTTGTGCTTTATTATTTAGAAGTGTCTACCAGCTGCCCCAACTCCACACCCATCTGAAAGACTGAGGACACAACAGTTAAAATTGAGCTTCATGTCCTTCAGATATTAAATCTAATGTTTTCATTGATTTCCTTTATTCTTAATGAACATTTTAGAGACAGTATAAAAATCTTTGCTTTCCAGTGAAGGACCTGTAAACTGACTTGTAGAATGTTATCTAAAACCAAGGGCCTTCCTCACAAATGCTGTTGTGGAGCATTGCATAACTGAAACATCAATCCCCTTTTTAAGTGCAAGACTCATGGGATTACACAGGTGTGAAGCTTTTCCTCAGGTCACAGCTAACAAGTCAAAATGAGTCCTTTGAATCAGAGAGGGAATTTGGAAGAAGGTGTGGAATGGAAGTGGAATGTCCCTGAAAGACGTGTATTAACTTTCCAAGTGGCCTTTCCACTAGCCAGCCAGCCAGAGCATATCCAAGTCCTCTAGTGTGGTGAAGACATGAATTACTGTAGCACGCTGTGTGTGCAAAGGAAATTGCTGAAACTTTTCACCACTTGTAAATGGAAAACATAATTTTGGTCACTGATGATAATTGCATGTTCTGGGTGGGGTCAGTAGAGCCTCCAGTCTGTGAACTGAGTGGCTACTTTTTCCTGATCCAAGGTGCTAAATAGTCTTCCACCAGTTCTTCCACTTAGCTTTCCAGTCTGCAAGCAAAATCTTGTTTCTGATTTTTCCAGGTTGCACAAACCCTGTAGGCCTGGACTTATCCCTGTGTACCAGAATCTCTTTATTTGTGTAGGATTTCCATATGTACAGTAATCCAGTCTGCCCAGGATGTTTAAAAATTTAGGACATCTCTACAGACATTGAGCAGAAAGAAAGTTAAGGTGGTGCTAAGTAGTTTCACTTAATTGGAGGATAAAGAAGGTACATAATCTACTTGGGGTTTGATGCTGTAGATGGCAATATAAGGATCAAAGGCTTATGCCCTACATTGTTATCACTCCATGAATCTGCTGTAGATCAAAGAGTTTTGAGGAGCATCAGACCTACTATGTATGAACTGTACAGTTTATGTGCAGTTGCTCAGTGAATCCAGCATGTCCTGAGGGCAGTGGATTTACTGCACATGTGCATTCCATGGATATGCATGTGTAGCTGTCCAGCCATTCTGGTCATGAAATACAATAGCTCTGTGAGTTGTGGTGCATGTCACAAAGTGTGTGGTGTCTGAGAAGAGCAGCCAGCATCAAGATAAACCTCCTGGAGTTTCCAGTATTGGTAGTAGTTCACAGTTACCTGTTTAAGTCCAGAACCATGTATAAATGCATTTGTAATACAAGTCCTTAAAATGGTAACAAATGGAAACTTCCTTATGGAATTGCCTTACTGCAATATTTCAAGGTTCCAGCATTTACTGTTACATATTCTATTCAAATGTGATTCCTCTCTCTAAATGAGTTTTGCTTATGTTGTTGCCTTCCCAAATTGTCTTTCTGCTTGGGATCTCTCTAGATGAATTTTCAGTGGTTGAGACTGTTGGGATTTTATTTTTTCCCAGGAAATCTGTCCCATTTTTTGAGAAATTGAAGCATCAAAAATTGAATTTGGGAGTGGGTAACGAGGTTGATATATGAAATGGCAGTTGTACAATGAACTATGTATCAAATCCTTTTTTATGGAGTGTCTGAAAGGTCAGCATTTATCTTTGCTGCCTTTTTCCTTTTGTTTGTTTTATTTAATTATCCTCATGTTCTTCTTTATTAAAACTGTTTGCAACTTTTACCAACTTAAGTAGAAACAGGAAGAAATTGTGATCTAATCTTGATAAATTGCATCTTTCAAGAAAATATTTGAATATCTTACTGCAGTAGGTCTATTGTACATTAAAGGCACATAAGCCATGTGTGTCATCAGGTATTTAACATTAGTACATCTTCTTTCAAGTCCTCTTTGATTTTATTATATATTATTTGCATGTTTTATAGCAGTAATTTTTTTAGGTTTTCATCAGGCAAACTTTGGTCTGTATCTGATAAAACCCGCAAATTCTAAATGTTGCTGTAACTCTGAAAGACAGCATGAATCTCTTTGAGAGATATGATCAGAGCAGATGTTCAGAAAAGCTCTGCATCATGGAACTTAAATCCTGTCTCTGTTCTTCCAGCTGAATATTGCCAGCATGCTAGTGTAGCTTTCCCAGGACTGCAGAGGCTTAGGGGTGTGTTTGTTCTGAAGTTTCTAAAGTAGAATGAAGCATCCATTTAAGGTCCTATTAAGAAGGATTTTGCATATCTGTATTCACACACATTGCTTCAGGCAGTGTTTTTCTTTTGTCCCATGAAACTTTTGCAGTTCTAAATTTGATTTGGTGGTCACTTAAATCCTAACATTTTTAATAAGTGTGTTATAGTATCCTTTTTAAGCAGTTTTATTCTTGAGATGTTAAACTTTTTTAAAGAAATGCTATATATCATATTATGTCTTTGTTATGTTATTCTTACAGATAAACACAAATCCCCTTTGGATATAATACAAAGTTGTCCGAAGAAAAGTCAGTTCAGGACCATTGCTCCAAAAATGGTACCAAAAATGTTAACACCTGGAGTGGTTTCTTGTCTTCAGTCATCTTTGCCTGAGCCAAACACACCAATTTCAGCTGCAGGTTGTAAGCCACTGGTGGTACCAACTCAGAACTATGCTGTCATGCAGGTGGCTGGTCACAAAGGGACCTTTTCTCTCTTGGCTGTGCCATATGTTGCCCCTGCCCTAACACAGCAGGTCCAGCAGTCAAATGTGGGCCCCTTTGAAAACCTAAAGCTGCCTATCCCTAGATACCAATCTGCGAGAAAGAAATTGCTGAGGGACAAAAAATCAGGACAAATCTCTGGTTTGGGTGCACAGAAAAAGTTCCCTACCAAAGCAGCGACCTCGTCACAGACTTCCCCCATGACTACTTCAACTGAAGACTGTCCTGAAATTCATTCTAGTTCACATTCAACTGAGCAAGCTATGCTAGCAGACCCTGACTCAGCTGAAATTGCAGTTGCCACATTAGTAAATAAAAACAATAATGTGGAATCTGGATCTCATTCAGTGAAGAAAACTGAAATTGCTAATGGTAATATTTCTGGACCATCAGCAGTTAAAGATTCTTTCTCCAAGCCAGCAAGTATAAGTAGTCCTATGAAACTAAGTCTACAGTCTGTGAAGACAGAAACCACAAGAGAGTCATTCATGACATCTGAGAAACCAAAGGAAAACCCCACGAATTCTGCAAATTCTGTTGCTGTCTTGCCACCAGCAGTTTATAGCGGTACAGTACAGATGATTCCATCAGCATCAAGAGAAAAACTTCCTATTTTGCCTTACTCAAGGATGAAAAATTCAGTGTTCTGTAAGTCTAAGCAGAATATTAGTGTTATGGATATACCTGCTCCTTCACCAAGATTTGAATGTGAAAAGATACCAGCTTTGGTGAAAACCAAAGCATTAGATAAGCCATTAGCTGTGTCATTTACACAAGTCCCCAAACAAACCATTCAAGAAAATACCTTTCCACCCAGTAAAGAGGATGTTGACAGTCTTAAAAAACCAAACAGTTCAACTTCTAAAAGAAGAGGCAGGAAAAGAAGACCTTCAGATGATTTATTGGCTTTTCAGACCAAGCGAAGGAAATGCATCATTAGTAAGTGGAGAGAAGGAAGAGAGAGGGCAAAGGTTGATATTCAGCCACCTGAAGAAAAAAAAGCAGAAGCAGTGAAAAAATACCGTAGTATTAGACCAAAACCAATGGTAGTTGTGCAGACTTTTGCACCACTGACTTCAGCAGCAGTAGCACAGACACCTTCTCATGACCATTTAGAGCAAGGTGGTTTTTCAGACAGTTCACTTGCCAATAAACATTTAAGTTACAGGCACAGTGATGCTACATCAGTTAAATCAAATGATTTAGGTAGAAATGCACGTTCAGCTGTACCTAAGCCGTTGCACAGATGTCATGTTTGTAACTATACCTTCCAGTTGAAACACCATCTCCAGGACCATATGAACACGCACACCAAGAAACGGCCATACAGCTGTCGAATTTGCAGGAAAGCATACATTCATTCTGGGAGCCTGAGCACACATATGAAGCTTCATCACAATGAAGGCAAACCCAAAAAGCTGGTGTGCTGTGAATTCTGTGCTAAAGTTTTTGGCCATGCAAAAGTGTATTTTGGCCACCTCAGAGAAGTCCACAGGGTTGTTATCAGCACAGAGCCCTCTGCTAGCGAGCAGGAGATGCAAGATGCTTCAAAGAAAAGAGACACAAATATAAAAGAGTCAGAAGAGGCTACAGAGAGGTGAGAGTTTTCACTAATTCAGTGCTAATGAAAATGGGATTTCAGGTTGTCAGTGGAAATACAGAAACATCACCATTATGAAAATTATTGCTTCCCCTCCCCCCAGTGGGATTCCTAATGGCTTAAATATTTTGTTAAGGAATCTAGTCAATCCATTAGGCCACCCAGCTGATTTATTGGCTATTGGCCCTTGAATATTCAAAGTAACTTTGCATATATTCTAGAAACACCCCATATACTGCCATTGGAGCTATTTGAATCAGTTGTTTTCTCATGGTTAACAGTCTCTGTTAGTCTGCACTGTCTTCTGTCCTATCCATTTGGGAATTTTCCCCAGAAGATAAATGAACCAAATGCAGTAAGTGAAATGCAATTCATATTTCACTATTAGCTTGTAGTTTGTTTTCCCTGTTAAATATCATTATCCCATTTCTTTCTCTGGAGTGGTGTGAGCTAATCCATCTTGTGTGTTGATTTCTGCTGCTTTTGCAATCACTCAGCCAAAAAGAAAAGTTAACATTTGCCATATTAGGATGGATAGAACATTCTTTTATCATGTGATTTTTGAGGTGAAATGTCTTGACACAGTATAAATGTTGGCTTTTTTGTTTGTTCATCTGTGCCTTTACTTTCTCTGAAGAACACTCAGGGCTTTCACTTGACTCTTCACTGCAAGACTACAGTTTGATTTTACTTGGTTTGCTTTGCATAGCTCTTCTCTCGGGGGCATCAGTAGAAACTTTTAAGGTCTTGAGCCTAAGAAACACGAGCACTTTTCTCTCAGTCTTACTAGCCATCATACAGTGAATCATTCCATTTATGTGTTTTGTTGGGTCATTTGTCTAATGTGTAAAAATACACAGTATTAATGAGGTCCTTTGTGTAAATGTTACGAGAAGATTTCTGAGCAGATCCTGTTTTGATTGGCTTAAACTGGGACTGTCTGTGTATCTGTTTCATTTATACTGCATAACTGTCCTAAATCAGGGAGAGGGGTTGTCTGATTGTCAATTAGGTATTGGAACTTCTTTAAACCATATGACAGAGTTTTAGGAAAAAAAACCAAGAAACTTTGAAGTTCCATTTTTTTCCATCTGGGAATGGGAGGTGGGACATTTCTTCTTAAAAGGATGGAAACTGCCCATGCCTGGTTAATACTGAAATAGTTTTTATTTCCTTTTTTTTTAACAGGGGAAGTAAGTGCAATTTTGAGGACCTATTCCACAACCCAGGAGGAGTGAAATTACAGGTTAAATGTGGTCGATGCCAGTTTATTGCACAGTCTTTTGGTGAAATGAAGTTTCACTTACTGAGCTGTCATGGAGAAGAGATTGAGGGAAGAGTAAAGGAAGGGATTTTGCAAGGAAATATAGGGGCAAACAGGGAACTGATCAAACATACAACCCAGTTCTGGAAACAGCACAATGAGAGAAAACATTTAGCAAGATTGAATGCCTGTGAGGAGTTTCACACTTCTCCAAAACTGAAGAGACGGAGAGACTTTCACCATCAGAAAAATATCAATGTGTTATCTAAAAGTGAACTGACTCTGTCAGGAAGTAGTGAAACTGCCAAGGAGATGCAAAATGTGGATTCGGATACACCAAGCAAGAAAACAGAAATTGGGTCTAAAGCAGGTTATAACTGCATTTTGTGCAAACAGTTATTTGGAAGAAAAGAGGATCTTTGTAGTCATTGGCAGAGTCATCATAACTGTGAAGACCCTTCTACTTTATGGACAATTTTTAGTTTGGCATCAAAACAAGGAATTATTGAACTTTGTAATAGTGGTGAATTTTGAAGTTCGATTCTACAATGCTATGAAAAACGTCAACTACCTTACCAAATTGTTTATGTTTTTTTGCTGTCTTGCTAAACTAACTCAACAGATATATCAGAGGTTTGTTGGGTGGGTTTGTTGGTTTTTTTTAAAGTTATGCTAACCTTTATTTTGGTAAATAGAAAATCTGCCTATTCAGTATCATTCCAGGTGGGTACATGGAAGCTGATTGTGAAACACTGTGCTTAAAATTCATGCTTAAGGACCTTTACAGCAGCAAATACTCAATGCTAATGGTTAACATCAAGAAAAAAGTTTTTCAAGTGAAATTATATTGCATACACAGAAATAAAACAATTTATATGAAATAATCTGGAGTTTTGAGTGAAATGACAAACCTGACCAAAGTGTACTTTCAGTCCCAACAGATTTTGTGGTAAATACATATTTCCATGCAGTTCTGTTGGTTGGTTGAATGTGCATACATGCAGCCAGCATTCTGGAGCTTTCTTATAATTTAAGAGCTTTTAATTCTTGCTTTCTTGATTTTAGTGTCTTCAGTCATCATGTTCACTGCTTGCAAGTCTTTTCGGTGTTGTGTACTGTCCCTGTAAGAGCAAAGATCTGTAAATCTCTGAAGATTTTGAAAGTGAAACTCTACATGTATTTATTTGCTGGCGGATCTTTGGGTTGAAGATGAGCTAATTGCCAGCCATGAAGACAGAGCCCTCAAAGCTTGGCTGCTTTATGGAAAAGCAAGTTTGTCTTAAAATTAGTCATGTGAGTTCGTTAATCCCGGGAAGTCTGACATTCAACAATAGAGTGCAGGTCTCGTAGTGAACTCTTAACATATTCCTTGCACCTCCTGTGACAGCAGCACTGCTGCTGCCAACAGTTTAGTAGTCTGCCTTTAACACTCTTGGTATATCACTTTTGTACCTCTGTGGCTCTAAAAGGAAATTGTTCCTTCACTTCTCAGTCTGTGGTACAGGTAGTGAGTTGTTTTCACTTGTGATGCCAGATTTATTGTACTAGAGGAACTGCATGCAGCACCTTAACCTTGCAATATCAGGAGCTAGTAACCATTTCCTGACCAGGGTGCAAAGCTGTAGCAGCCTGTGATTCAGGAGCAGTGCATCCCATGTCCCTCTGCTGCAGGGCTGGCAAGGCAAGGGACCATTGCAGCACATCTCCAAGGGGACAGTCTGGTCAGACTGTAAGGGGGTGGAGTTCTGCAACTGAGTTTTGACAAAAAGGTCATTGAAGCCATTGAAACAAGTTTGAAATTGGTGTTTAAACTGCTCTTACTTAAAACCTGATGTACCTCTGAATTATTCTGGGAGCAATACTGGAGGCAGTCTAAGAAATCACTATGTCACTGTTCAACAGAAGTCAGAGCACATCAGAGGGCAAGCTGAAAAATGCACCAGTACTGTCCCTACAGTACTACTTTATTAATTTCCTATTGCAGTCAACTGTGAATGAGGGATTGAAACAATGAGAGTCATTCTTAAAGTGTCCTGTGTCGCTGCTCACTGTTTTGCAGAAATTGCAGTGATGAGAAGATGAGAAGAGATCTAAAAATGTTGAACTTCCTGAGTGATATTCCAGAAGCTGTGGCAGTATATTGTGTATGTCTTTTGCTTTTAAACAGTAAAGGCAATTTTGATGAGCTAATAGTTTTGAATGCAATTTCATGTTGTTTGGTGCTTTACCCTGAACTTGAACCATAAGGCAGAAGCCAAGAATAATAAAAGACAAAAAGAAAATGCTCATAGAACTCTACAGGTGCTTGGTAAGGTGGAATAATCCCTGTGGATTTTCAAAACTTTCTTCCTGTTACCTGTTGCTATAAATACACATTTGTGGCTGTTTCTTTGGGTTGTATATTGGGGTTTTAATGCTGAATTACATTAAAAACACTACTTGTTCTGATTCTTGATCTTTGCCTACAATATACTCATATTTATTTTCACTGGCATATTTGGAGAGGAATAGCTGATTTTTTGAAGTCAGTGTTTCATATCAAACTGAGGCCATATTTAACTTAGTAGAGTATGTTGCATTTAGAAACCACTTTTTACCTCCCCCAACTTAATCCTTTACCTTTCAAAATCAAACAGCATGGTGTTCCCCTTGAAATAGCAATGTGAGAACAATCTCTCCTTCACTATATCAAAGGGAAATTCATTCGCAGCATAAAACATGCATTTTAAGAGCTGGGGAGGGAAAAAAGTCAAACATTTAAAAGGTTTGATCATGTTCTTCATTTAGAACAAACATTAAATCACCTTTCTTGCAAAATCACCCATCCTGTGGTGTATTTTGAAAAGAGCTGACATGAAGGCAGTGCTGAGATGGAGTGCCTCCTGTTCAGGAACAGCAGCACTGATGGCAGAGTTGTCCTTTAAACATATTTTCAAAGAGTGTTTGCTCAAAGCAGTGGTGCATCTGAGCCTGGGATGTAGATGAGTTGTTTGGTGTTGGTCTCAGAATCACAGAACAGTCAGGGTTGGCAGGGACCTCTGGAGATTATCTAGTCCAAACCCCCTGCCAAGGCAGGGTGGCCTAGAGTGATGAGTGATGCAAGTGTCAATGTATTTAGGTCCTGTCTTACCCAACGGAACTGAAGACCAGAAGTCATCGAAGAAGTCACTGCTGAATATAAACCCCAGTTATTTTAACACAGTGTCAGCTACTCTATTCTGAACTAAGTCCCTTGTTTTACAAGACCATTACATAGAACAATAAGGCATATTTTTTACAAGACCATTACATAGAACAATAGGCCGTATGAAATTATCTCTTTTTTTGGCTAATAGTTTCATAATTAAACGAGAGAAAAGAAAATCATCTTAGTTTAAAGATCCTTTCTTCCTACTTACTTGGTCATCAGGCCAGAGGAGTCAGTCCCTTTCTCTGGAGGGGGAGGTGCAATGCTGATGGGCTTTGGGATGAGGGAGTTGCTTGCATTTATTTCTCATAGAAATTTTCATATACAGTCTTTTCATCGTATTTTCATGCTTCTCTCCCTCCCTGTAGTCCAGGCCAAATGGGTAAAGGGGTGTCAGCTTTCAGCAATTTAAAGCCTGAAAACATGTTTTAAAGCATTTCTCAGTGTCCTCATAAATGTTTAAAATTAGAAGCCTTTTTTCCTGAGCCTGAAAGCATTCTTATGTTTCAGGCTATTACGATTATGGTAGATTATGAAAGGTTGGGATTTTTGAAAATAGCTTTGCATTAAATACAGATGTGTCCTTTGTTTGAAATGTGTTTGGTTTGCATTTGTGTTCATTCTGATAACATTTGGAGGTACGAATTGAGCCTTCTCTACAGCAACATTAAGTAGTGTGTTTGCTGCTCAGCAGAAGGGTTGTTATGAATACAGTTTGCTGTTTACCTTGAAGCTGGACAAGTTAACATCTGGTTTTGCACATAAATTCTGTTTTTAAATTGTTAAACCGAATGTTATTGTTTTTGTAGCTGTAGTTTTGTTCCCCTCTGATTTTTCATTACATCTCTGTTTCAGCTTCACTGTTCAACTTTAAAGCTGTTCCTCACATGGAAAGTTGTTCCTTCATCATCACACCATAAATAATCAAAGCTGGAGGAGTTCCATGGCTTTTCTGGCTTGCAGAGTATTGCCCTTCTCCAGCTGCAGAGCTACAGTTTCCTGTGGCTAACTTGACATAGTTGCTGGCAGTAAATGTTTTACTTCATTTATTTATTAGAATTTCAGATCTCTGCTGTTTAGCTCGATCAGAGTTTCTGTCATACCTCATTAGATACTTATTTTATCTACTATTCACTGAGCTCTGTAAAGAAAGTGTCATAAGAAGGATGAACAGGTATTTAAGAAAGCAGATTTCTCCCCTAACTTTGTGCAGATGATGCTGACGTTTGAGAATCACCAGCTTATCTAGGCTCAGCCGTGTAGTATATTATATTTCTACAACACATCCACCTACATGTGCATCTATTTTGGAACAAAATGTATACTTCAAATTCAGCTGTCAGTTATTATTATCAAACCTGTACAATGTAGGTTTGTGATCATTATGCATAAAGATTAAAATGCTATTAACTCTAGTAGGTTTACTTGTCAAATTCCTTAGAGCTGTGAAAAATGAAAATCTCTGCGTGCTGAGTATGTCACAGGAAAAAATCTGGTCTCATGAAGAAAATTCTGATGGCTTAAAGGTTGTCCTCATTTCAGTGTGTGCTTTTATAGCTGATCTGTCACATTGCAGGATTTTCTCCGCGTTTTATGATATTGCCATAATTTTTCTTGGTTAGGAACAATGAAGAAGACCTGAGTCTGCAAGCAAGTTTCAGGAAAAAATGTGTGTACTTCTTTTTTTTCTGTACAAGCAGACACATCCATGGGCTCAATATAGTTTTGGTGGCCTTACATATATATGCACAATGTGGGGAAACACTCGAGGTTTGGGCTTCAGTGTATGACTTCATGAGGCTGAATGTCCTGCAGTCCCAAAGTAAAAGTTAGGAACTTGAGTGTAAAAATAACTTGGTTTTCAGACTCAAGTGAATTTTAATACGTTATTGACAAACGTTCAAGAAACCCTGAAAAATGACAATAGCATCCTTCTGTGCTTGTGCTTGCTTGGGCAATTTTATTGACGTAGCAGTACCAGAGGTGCTCTGAAATATGATAAGGTAGATGCTGTAGAGTACAAAGGAAACTTTCTCCTTTTTTTTTTTTTCATTTTGTCGGCTTTTCTGTGTAAGCATAGAAATTATGGAATGAATTATGGTTTCTAATAAATTCAGAAGCATTATCTGAAGTTACTTTGTAGAAACTTCACTTTTTAACCTAGAACAACAGATGAAATCAGTGAGAAGCAAATTTAACTGGAAAGATATACATGAGCACACTGTTCCATTTGTGGATTTCTCTGCACATTTGCACTGCTGTAGATGAAGTTTATAGATGATTAGTCTTCTACTGATGGGTACAACCAGTTTGTTCTTATCCAGAGTTATTTAGAGTGGCCAAGGGA